TAATATTTTTAATAATTATTGGAAGGAAAAACGAGTCATCTCAATTTTAACCAATTTTTTAGAATTTGCATTTTGTTTCATAAGTAAAATATGTTTCTTGTATCATTTATGTGCTTATCCTTTATTGAAAATAGATTAATCGTACAGACGTGTATCAACAAAAACGTAATCACAAGTACTAAAAACTACTAAGTGCAAAATCAATACCTGATAATAAAAACTCTGTATATTTATGTTAAATATAAGCTAAATACAAACAGCTTATCATAAACGAATATTCGCATTTATTTTGCAATCTACCCAGAGTTAGTTATGCGCGATTACAATTTGATTCAGTTTTTCATTTGTCCATTAAAAAACATTCCATATTACACCAATGTAAAGTATTTTATTATTGTTTTATTGTTATAAATAATTTTACTGAAATAATTACATTAATTAATAAATGGTAGGTTAATGAATATTATAAATATTAGAATTTTGCACAATTTTTAAATATTTATATTTAACAAAAATATTTGTTTTCACGAGTTTAAAAAGTCATTAAATCATTTTATAAATGGTATTTTTTAAGATTTAAAAATATATTAACGATATGGATTTAAGTAGTTTTAAATATATTTATATTGTATATTTATGTTTATATTTGTTTATCTATTTAAATATATGTATATAACGTATAATTTATATATGTTTCTTGCACCATTTATGTCCTTATCCTTTATTGAAAAGAGATTAATCATTCACACGTGTAATATAATTATAATATGAATTATATAAAAAATAATATGAAAAAATATATCGATAATAGGAATTTGTCAGATTTATAAATAATGTTAGTTCGTTAACCATATATGATGTAATATTAATTAATATTAATCGATCACTAAATATATAATCCAATTGATTGTGTTAATATTACAAATAAATTAATTATATCTGTTACAATAATATTATACACTAAATTTGAACTAAATTTAAAGCAGCAGAAAAAATTGTTCAATTTTTTTTCTGGTACTTAGCTGATATTTAAGCTCAACAAAACAAGAAAAAGCATCTGCTTCCTCACTGTTTTCATACAAATATTAATTAGTCATTGAGTAAACTCGTGTTAATACCTATACTGCAGCTTCATTACGAAAGTGTAAAGACAAAAAGTTAAGAAAGTATAAAAAGTGTCATAAAAAAGATGATGATGAGTAATGCTGTACGTAGATCATCTAAAGTTGTAAAAAAGATATTTTTGTGGAATAGATAAAAGGTACGTTTATAAAGAAGCTAGATTCCATTTTCTATATAAAGAATAATTGAAAAATTAATGTAAATTAACGAAAAATTATTTTTAATATTAAAAAATTTATTTTCAAAAATAAAAAATACTTATTGAGTTTTAATTTAGACTAAACTAGTAGTTTTATTTTTAAAATATTTTATAACGGCTAATGAACCGTAAATATAAAAATCTGTATTTTTTGTTAATAATATGATTAATCAATTTTAGATAACAATCAAGTCATTGATCAATACTTTCAATCCAAAGATTTAAGTATAAGTGGCAATTCAATTGTTATAATAATTACATTAAAAATTTACAACTAAATATAATGTATACGTATACAATAAGATATTATAAATAATAATTGTACAGCTTATATTTCATATTTTTAGTATCAATACTTTAAAAATATGATTTAATATCCTATAAATCTGTCAAATATAAATATAGTACATAAGAAAAGTAATTTGTTTAATTTATCTTTTGTAATACTTTTGTCATCATAATTTTACTAATCGATAAACATTTATAATTTTAATAGAAAATTATTTATATTATGATTGAAAATCTTATTTTTATATATAAGTATATTGATAGTTTATTATTTATTTAAAGGGTATGATTTTATAATTCGTTAGTTATGTGTCATTGTATCCGCTAGAGTTCTTATAAAGTATGTTATTTTTACTAAATTTTTAAAAGTTTATATCTAAATTAAATTTCATAAATTTTTAATTAATTTTTAATGCATATAGTTTGTAAATAAAGAAAACCATCATAAAGTCTCCTTACTTTTCATAAATTATCTAAAATACAATAAATTAATATAATATTTCAAAATTAAATGTAATTTTAGGAATAGTATCATTTAATAAAATTTGTTTTTTGTTCAGTGTACAATACATATACATATATATATATATATATATATATATGTACACTGGACAAAAACAATTTATTTACACACACACACACACACACGCACGCGCGCACACACACACACACACACACACACACACACAAACACTCTTATATGTATAGAAAAAGATGGTTAGGAACGATATATTCAATTGATAAAATAATCCAATGAAAACAATTTTTTAATCTGCATCTTTTATATTTGTATAGAATAACATTAATAGAATAAAATTTTTTTAATTATTTATATTCACTCCGAATGTGAAAAATGTGAATTTGGTATTATGAAAATAGAGTAAAACGTGTTTAGATTTTAAAAAACGTAGCAATTTGCATTATTTATATTCTTACATAATTTAAATTAATTAAAATGTAATATTGATATAAATTTGACGGCACGTACATTATATAATTAATATATCTGATAACTGAAAGTATTTAAAAAATTTATAAATGTTTTATAAAAATGCAAAAATTACAATTATATTGTATTAATAAGCATATTAATGTGAATAATAAATAAAGAAGAAAAATTTAATTTCAATGTTTGATATTGGTATTTTTTGTTCAACTTTAACGATTATCTAGTCTATATCGACAATTATAGCTCAACAATCAGAGCATTTTTCTGTCATACGGCGATCCAGTTAACACACAGCGAGCACTTTACTTAATGTAAAACTAAGCGACGTGAATTCTCAGTCGTGATTAATTAAATATATTTTAAGATCAACATCCGATGGCGAGGAGACTGATGCTTTACTCGTCGACGTCGTTCAGACATTTTGACGCGCGAATCGTCGGCTTTCATTTAAATAAATGGACCTATCCACTGCTCTTTGACTCTTGTGAGAATTAAAGACATTGAAGAACGCATAAAGCAGAACAAAAAGAAAAGAACACGTAGGAAAATAATAACGACGAGTATATAAGTATTTTGAGTTCGTCTCCAGTGTATTAAGCTGACGTCTTTTACGTTTTCTTTCTGGTGCTGCGCGAATATTAATCGCTGCGCATCAGGTCTTACCGACCTTTTCACGTCCTCTCACAAGTAAAAAAGACGACATGAGTGTTTGTTTAGGTTGAAAGCTATATTGAACGAGGGCTTTCAAATGGATTTTATTTATGGGTCGCCAAGTAGGGAAATACTTGCTTCCCGTTTCACTGTACTTTTTCATGCCTTCAATCCTCGATTTCACTCCCCTTCGCATTCATTTGATATATCGTTCATGTTGGCTTTTCCTCAAGACAATTATTATTCCAATAACTATATTACTTTCAATATTTGTATATAATATGGTAATCATTATTTAGAGAATTAACTTTAATCTAAACTTATATCTCGTTGATCAGATAAATAAAATTGAATCAGAAATTTTTTAAGTATTAGTATACGAATAGTTTTCGTTCAGAAATTCTTAATATTTTTAGCATATTTATGTTTATTTATGTTACTTTCTAAAATTTAACGTTTATAGATGCATAAAATTTACTATACGAAACTTGAACATTTTATTGCTATTTAAAATAAAATAGTTATAAGTAATATAAGATAGTTTTTAAGTAGGATGAATTCTTGGAATACATATTAATATTTATATTAATATGTACATATATATATATATATATATATATATTTATAAAACTCATTTTGAAACTATTTTGTTATTCGGATCTGCTATTCAAAAATAGCATTTAACAAATGTATGTTTGAATAGTGCATATGTGTTAAGATTAATTATTCAATTGTGTTTGAATTAGTATTTTAAGGTAATGAGGTGCGAAATATTTAATCTGGTAAAAATTATTAATTTCAAAACATTTTGAATTAATAAAGAATTTCCGAGGTATAAAAAGTATGCACATTCGCAAACAAAATAATACGAATATTATTTCAGAGTATGTAACGTACAAGCATTTTTCAAATATTTTTTTCATTTTACAATAGTCCTCTGAATATAAGCATTACGCTATATGCGAAAAATATAAAATAAATATAAAATGAATTATACGATTTGATGTATATAGAGTTTGATTCGACTTTTTAGAGTGCTTAATATTGGTATTTTTTTTTGTAATTTAATAATTTTTAATTTACAATTTCCATCAATTGTTTCGACATTATTTATTTCACAAACATGAATAATTCATTTTAACTCAAATAAAATGAATAATGTAATCTTATATTTGTAATTTATTTTTCGAATAAAATATTATTATTTATGTTATATTAGCCATTATTTATTTAAAAATTTTTTTAACTTGTTAATACGCTGATTAGTTGTTAAGTTTAAAGTACTTATTAGATTTTCTTTAGTATGAAAGTATTTCATTGTTTAAATTCAATATAGTAATTTTATCGAAATATAGTGTACTAACTCTATATAAAGTTTGTTCATCTCAGAATATAATTTCTATACCAGTAAAAAGTTTAAATAATTATAAACTTTACTTATATGAAAAACTAATGACAAAAACTTTCAATCTTTTTTAGTTTGCAATATAAAATATATTTTAAGAAGTAATTAATATTAACGATTTGATTATTACTATTAATTTCACAAGTTGCTTAATGTACATTTTTCATATTAATAAAACGTTTATTTAATAATTTTTTGTAAATAATATTCAATATATTTATATATATATATATATTTTTTTTTTCCTACATAAGAATTATAAAAATTTTTTTTCTTTATAGAAATTATGAAAGGTTATTTTCGACTATGTACGAAAAAGTTATTTCAATAGGGATATTGGAAATATAGAATTAACGAGTTTACTTGCTTCTGTTGTAGGTGTAGAGATTATTACATCGTCAAAAAGACTATTATGCGACACGAAATAATCATCAGATAGAAAAAAAATGACTGCGCACGATTCAGCGACGTGGCTGTCCAGAATAGTCGCTTTCGTCATTTTCATCAATGGTAAGTAGATAAATATGATTATATCCATTACCAACTAATGGATGATATGTAACCATACGAGATATATAATTTCAATAAACTTTAATACTATAACAGTGGAATGGGAATAAAATTCACTTGAGAAAAAATTTTTTTTTTATGTACTTCAGTATAAGATTATTTTTTACGTGATTGTTTATTTAAAAAAATAATATTTAAGGTTATTAAATAGTTAAAAGATTTTAATACACAAGTTTTTAAAGTACTTTTTATCTTTAATTACTGTAATTTAATATCTGCTAATTACTCGAGATCGTTAAGTTGGATCTTATAGAAGAATAGAAAGCAGTGGTTAAGTACTCGAACTCCTGTCGCAAGTAGGCTTTGATAAAGTAGTAATTGCATAGAATTGCATAATGGCTATATGCAGTTAATGAAATGTAAAAGTATATACAGGTTTATGGAGTTGGTATATTTTTGTTATAATTTAATGATATTTTAAAAGGAATAAAATTAGAAGATTTATTAAAAGGTATGAATAACACGAGAAAAATCATCTAACGATTATTTTAAGAAATTAATTTTTAATTAAATTAAAATAACTATCGTTATAATTTATATTTTTAATATACACTTATTCTATTATCTATATAATATTGCAATTCTGTGTAGGAATTATAAGAAATTTTAAACTTAATTCTATAATTCTATAAGTATTTTTAAATTCAAGATTTTATTAAAAAAAGAAATCAATTACATATTTTGCAGATGCGGTAATTTAATTATGCTATAAGTATACCGTATTTATCTTAAAAATATTTAATTTCATATTTGTAAACTACAATATCTCATATATAATTAGTATTTTATATTATATTAGCGTTTATTGAATTGCTTTAATACAATTAAGTTTTAAAAGTAATTAAGATCTGAAAAAAATATTTTTCTTATTATGTACTCTTTCTACTGTAGTAAAATATTTTTATTTAAACTACTTATTATTATTAAAATAAAATATACTTATTTTATTTACTTATTAATCTCAATATCCAAGAAAGATATGTAAAATTAATTGTATTGTAAGATAAAATACTTTCTATTATTTATACCAATAATAACTTAAAATCAATAGTTTTCGTTATAATTTCGTAAAGTATATTTTATTATTAATCTTATACTTTATTTCATATTAGCTAAAAGATATAAAATAACATTAATAAAACTCCACGATTTAGTTTTTAATAAAACTTTATTCATAATAGAGATTTTATTTGAGAAAAAAAATATTTTAATTGCTTTGAAAGGTATTTTTGACCAAAACAAGTTTAAATAAATAAATAATGCAGGAGTTATATATTACAATATATTTCAATTGTTTGAAAACTTTATTGTAGATTAAAATAAACTTCTATAAATCAAAATTTTATATACATATATAATGTGCGAATTTCATATGTTATTTGGTAATAAAAGTTTTAGATTTGAAGCGAGAGCGTAAAAGATTTTTGCTTGATTGTAGCTTAGTCCCTCACATTGAAAAAGACGCCTTCAGTACAGTTGGTTCTGCATAGATTTGTACCGACACCTTAAAAAGGGCCAATTGTTTTTTTCTTGAGAGTCGAGCCCTCCCACTCAATTGAAATCCGATGCATCGAATGTCCCCCAATTTATACATTCGAATAAATTTGAAGTGCATTCACGACCCTGTTCTTCTCTCCCTCTTTTTTGTCTGCCCTTTCCCTTCGCCGCTATTTATTCACGTCGATGGAGTCGATGTATCATATGGGGCTGCTCACGTGCACGAGGCAGAAGGAAAATAAACGCCTCGCGTCGGGCTTGAATGTCCCCAATGCAAGTCAATCTGTAAATATATTTATAGAACTCTTTTTATATAATAAAATTGAAATTCAATACACATTATATGGTATATATATATATATATATATATATATATACACACGTGTTTATTGAAATTTTATAATCGTAAATTAAATTATTTTTTTAATTCATAATCAATATTCGTTTTTGCTATTACCTCTTATTTTGAAATTAATATGGCAATTATTTGGTAACGATTGCCACTTTAATCTTAATATGTATTTTGTTAGATCTGATTTTACTCTTGTTTTGGCTTCTTCTATACTAGAGGTTCGATTTTTATTTTATTTCTACCTCGCACGCTATGGTGCTTATACCAAGAGTGCGTTTGTTCGATAAATCGGTTGTGCTAAATCAAAGCCGACTTAGGTAAATCGCAGGTCGTTTATCAGTAAATGATTTTGTGATCTAGTATAGATATATGACAAACCAGAGGCTCTGATTTATTTATGACACCAGTTTTAATTTAAAAATTTCTTGATGTAGCACCCCGATTCTCGTTTTCCTCACACGCGCGCACACGCACACACACCTGTAACGATAAATAAGTAGATTAAATTGGATAAGCTACTTATAGTTTATTCAATGCTCTTGAAGTGGACTCGCCAAATGCATTATTATCGTGTAGCAATAGTTGTTATTTCTAATGTTATTTGATGGGATGCTAATGGGTTTGCTTAATAATTTGGAATAATTATTGTTCTTTTAATGAATAATAGAAGAGAGAGCTTTATTTTCAAAATAAATGAAAAGAAAGAAACGGAGTTTTATATTTGCAATTTATGCAATTTCTATATGTAATATAAGTAATGCGTATTTCAGGACAGTTTTATGGTAATAGTGACAAATATATGAATTTTCAACTCTGCAAAAGTAACAGAATTTCTATTATGCAACATAGCTGTACGAATATATGTTTATTTTGAATATATGTTTATAAATTCATTCGCAATAAACTTTTTTATATTTCCATTATTGTGAATTTCAATTTATTAATTATTTTTCAAATTTAATTATTTGTTAAATTAATTATTATAACAATTTATCTTCATTTTATAATAATAATTTATTAAAGACAAAGTTAAAAACACTTTTCAAGCATATGATAATATGACACATACTTCCATTACTATTTTTTATTTAAATTGTATTTAAACAAGCTACTATTTCACCTTCATCAAATATTATTTCCAAGTATATAAATTAGTTCAAGGATATAAAACGTAATTGCTTTTATCATTAGCTGGTATATACTTTGCCTCTATCATATAATATATGATAGAAGAAAAGAGAAAGAAGTCCTAACTAAAATCCTAAATAAAAATGATCAAATGTAATTCAACTAGAACCTCGTTTACATTGACCTTATAACTTATCAAAAATATGAATTTATTTTCGTGTAAATTAAAAAGATCATGACCGTTATTGCGTAAGTACCCGGCATTATTAGAATTTAATTCGCTGCAAATTGTTAACACAGTAGGTGGCGATCGTAAATTATTTGCAATTGAATGCATCCATTCGGACTTTTCCCCTTTACATATCTATTTTTATTTTTTATTTTTTTAAAGAAAACGTATGATATAATACAATTATGATTGGAAATTAATTAATTTTTCACGATAATCTTTTTTATAAATTGTTTTGAATTTGAGGAAAGCATTTAAAATTTTATGTAATTAGAAATTTGAGAAAAGTATTTAACAGTTTACGGAATTAGCAAATATTAGTTTCTCTTATTTAAATACAAGATTACTAAACTATTTTATAATAATGTTTTACACATCTTTATTTCAATAATTATTCAATTAAAAACGCGTTTAACAATATTATTTAATTTAACATTTAATAATAATATTGTAATACTGATTGTTGTTAGTAAATGTACACAAATTACTCACAAATAATTTGTATGGTTTTGTGGATGAAAATGTTTTATTTTGTACTCATTAATCTATAAACGACATAAACAATATAATTGAGAATATCAAAGCCTGTTTATTAAATTATTTTTATTCGACAACTCAATGAAAACATCAATTTAATACAAATGAATCAACGTGAATTGAAATAGAAATTCTTTTCCGGTACATTTTTATCGTGTTTGCATTTCAATTAATAAATTTAAATATATGCTTCTATATATATATATATATGTATATATATATATATATATATATATATATATATATATATATATATATATATATATATATATATAAATATATATATATATTGGCTTCATAAAAGCAATTTAAAAAGTTAGAAACCTTATAATGCCAAGTTATGAATTAAATACTTTAGTTGTTTGATAAATAAAATTGAAATGTATTTGTTATGATGAATATATTTATTATCAATATGCGACTATTATAATCAACATGAATTATAATTATGTTTATATATTACACAGTTATATAGAAAGGATTAGGTAATAAAAGTTTAAAAAATATAATGGTTAACACAATGGTTAACAGATGTAAGGTAAAATAAAATAATAATATAATTTAATTATACAGCTCGAAAATAATTCAATTATTAAAAACATTGATTTTTTAAATAAAATTTTTGGTTAGAAATATAAGAGTTGTTGAAAATCTAGATTTTCATTTCTATAATTCTATAATTAAACTATAAATATAAATTCAGATTAAAAATGTATTCTTAAGATATTTCACCAAGCATAAGAAGGATAATAGCCTCATTATTTTCAAGACTTGGATACATTAGTATTATGGGCAAAATTAACTGAAATCTGCTTGTATTTTTACGCTACATTTCCTAAAATATAAAAAATAAGCTAAATTGTAATCGCTCACTGAATATAATTATTGTAGAAAATCATAAAAGTCTGTTTCAAACATTTATAAAAATTGAATTTCATGAATTTAATATACAATAATCATTAATTATAAATTATATTATTATTTATTATTAATTATAATTTATTATTATTAATGATAAAATTAAATTCAAAATAAAGAAATATATATATATATATATATCTGTTGATTATATGTGATCTATAAGAATGTCAATTAAATAATAGAATGAATAATACTTTAACTATTATAGAAGTATAATATTTATTTACTTGAATTTAATGTCGTTATTAATATTTTTAATTAAATATTTTCCCCAAG